TGCAACACCAAAGACATATATTAGTCAAGGGCCTAAATCCCTCAGCAATGTCCCAACATGAGTCCAGATGAAAACCCAGAGCTCATGACAATGCCTCCTATGAGTCCAAGTGGAGGTCCAGAGCCCACAAGAAGGACTCACGGCAGTCTCTTATGGATCCAGGAAGGCCCAAAGGTCAGCAGTGGAAGCCAGGAAGTCCATGTCAGCGGGGTGAAGGAGCTGTGCTAGTGGGATGAGGGTTCTATGCTGAGCCAAGAAGTCACACTCACAACAAAGACCAGGGCTATCCTGAAAGGCACCACAGCCATCCTCAGTGACACGAAGGCCCCAAGCTCTTCCGATGACAAGCACAGTCAAGTACATGCCAGGAAGCTAGGGTGATGAGTTCATCCTTGAGACCAAGCAGCACACGTCTTTCCCTCTGGAGCCAGGAAGCAGTGCTCCATGTGGGGACCAGAGCTTCTCCAGGAGAATCAACAGCTCAAACAGCAACTTGTAGGAGAACCCACAATGCCTCAACACCTCAACGCCTTATGATGTATTAATGCCTTCCTTCTCCTTCTCCGCTTCTCTATTCATGCTGGCAACTTTCTTCAGGTGGATCATCTATGCTCAGTGCCATGCTGATGTAATCCAGCTGGCATAAAGTTGACCACCAGTTCTTAATCCATAACAAAAGGTAAAAGGGGCCAGAGGGGCAGAAGTGGAGTCAGGAGAGAAGAGTCCCAGGGCAAAAACCCTAGAAAAGGGGTGCCCACTACAGGTGTGTGAGGGGCTGAGTAGGGAAGAGGAATTGGGTTCTTCAGGTGGAGAATGGCTCCCACCGAGCCCAGGCCAGACCACACCCTGAGCCAAAGCCATCCTCTGTGTCTACAGTGGGAACCTGGAGATATCCTAGGCTGAGTCACATCTTTCAGGCCTCAGGTTTTTTTCCCTCCCCCAGTGGTACCCACACCAGGGACGCAGAGTTCCCCAGGCCACATGGACCACACTTGTCCCTTGAGTGTCCATATTGCCCTCTCTCGTTTCCCTTTGTTGCCACCATGTTGTGATTTAGCCCGGGGGGGTCAGACGTCAAAGTGCATCCCACTGCCAGCCCCAATTGATGGCTCGATTGCTGCTGGGCCAGGAGTCACTAGATATGAAATGGTTAAGGCACCACGCTCAGGCTGATTACTCAGCTCATGAGGAGGAGGAAGGAGGTGCCAAGCTATTCTCAGGGGCACCTGGGCAGGCTGCTCCATGGGAGCTGCTGCTTCTCAGGAAGAAGAAAGGAAGGAAGGGAAGGAGAAGCAGGCTTTGCAACTGCAATGATGGTGTGGTGTTTAGGAGGGCAGGAGGGACCCTCTTGGAGGATCCAGAATCAATCAATCCAGGTTTGGATATAAACAACTTGGTCAGGGTGTCCAGGTGTCCCAAAGATGACCTGATGGACCTGTTGACACAAACAGAGATTAAAAGACTCATCTGGTGGCCAAGAGGCCCCAAAATGGGCCACTCAAGTTTACAAAAAGTTCAGAGTTTTCCTGGGTAAACTGGTTCACCATAGGAAGAGGCTCTCCAATGAAATTCCTGAAAATAGTTAAGGACACAGTGCAGAAGTGACAAAGAGGCAAAAGTAAACTGACCATGACACAAATGATAGGCATTAAACCAGTGATGAGATTAACAAGCCAACAAACAAGATAAACAAGACAAAGACAGAAACTATGTCAATCCGTAGATTAACATCAAGAACTATTTTGAACCTATGATAGACAAGTCCCAGCCAGCATCTTGGTCTGGAAATGAGTCCCAGAGACTCTAATGTTGCATCCAACATATCCAAGGACTCTGAGGGGCACCCCACCAAACTAAAACTGTCTTATGGGTAAGGATCTGGACAGCTCACTCTGAATTAGCTTCCAGAATTTTAGTTTTGGTTTTGGTTTCTCTTTGAAACAAAGAGATTCCTCGGGGCAAGGAACATCTCTCAGCAGTCCCCCTAAGGAATTAATTGCCTCAAAAAGAGGATTGGATCCTATAAATCTCTCAATAGAGATCCTGGATGAGCCCCCAAATGAGGTAGGTTCATAATCAATAAGGAAATCCAAGCAGCCAAATTGACAAATTTTGGGATTTTATTAGCTGAACTCAGTGACTACCAGCAAAGATCCCTGTTTCAGAGTCAAACCAAACTGCCCCTGAACTGGAGGGTGATAGAGATTTTAAAGCAGAAAGCCATAAAGCAAGACATCCCATTAGAAACAATTTAGCTAGAATCTTACATGAATTTTGGTTGATACCTGTATCTTCTTGTGGGTGCAGCTCATTCTGTTTTTCTCATGGGACTTATATCCTGAATAATTTTTCATTCTTCTAGGTCAAATACAGGGCACAAGTCAAATGCAGGGCACAAGGGCTAAGGATTTAGCTCAGTTGCATAAGCACCTTACTGGCAAGTTCAAGGTCATGAGTTCGATCCCTGGTTACCAAAACAAACAAACAAAAAACCCCACAAATACAAGATGGCATCAGTTATGCCAAGGTACAAGAAGTGCTGGGGTTGGAGGGAAAACACTGCTTCCTTTAAGCTTTATCTAAGCTCTGTATTTGCAAATTCTCTATCTTCCTTTATTTGGTGAGATATCTTGAACTTCCTTTGGCAAGTGATCACCTATAACACAAGAAGTCCGTAAGCTTGTTATGATGGTTACCTGATCAGGCTAGGACAAACCTTCCGAGCAAAACTCAAGTCTTTGGTCTAACAAAGCAAAAGAGGAAGTCCAGAAAGAAATCTAGTGGAATATGGAAAATAGGACCCATCACAGACAAGAAGCAGTATCAGTAAGCTTTCACCTTGCTGTGACACAATACCCCACATGTGCAACTTAAAGGAGAAAGGGTTTGTTTTTTTTCCTTTTTTTTGTACCAGGAATTGAATTCAGGACTTTCACTTGCTAGACAGGCACTTATGCTGCTGAACTATATCCCTGGCTCCAGAAAGGTTTAATTTAGCTCATGGTTTGGGGGGATTCAGTCCATGGTCAGCTATTTCCAAGGCACCAATGGTGGAAGGGCAAAGCAGGACAAAGATGTTCATGGCAGTTGAGAAGCAGAGCAGGGAACAGTGCCAGAGAGGAACATGCCAAGACTAGATGTCATACCCAAGGATACACCCTGTGACTCATCCAGACAAAACCAGAAGTAGGCTTTACTGATCTGGTAGGAATTTCTGTCTTTCTTTCTTTCTTTCTTTTTTTTTTTTTTTGGTACCAGGTATTGAACTCACAACCTTGCACTTGCCAGGCATGCTCTTAGGCCACTGAGCTAAATCCCAAGCCCCATGCTAGGAATTTCTTAACCCAACATAGTTGAGGTATCAGGATTAGCAGTCACAGTTTCCAAGATGGGAGAGAGGGGAGTTTAGAGGATAAAAGACAAAGTCAGAGATCAGGCCAGAGGCTCCCAGAAAGACTTCTTGGAAAAGATGAGATTAACTAAACACTGCTTCCTTCAGAGAACATCCTTCCTATCAGAGAACATCCAGAAAACTGGAGAGGACTTTAGGACCAGATGGTAGGGCATAGAGAGCCAAAAAAATCATTGCAAGAAAGAAAAAGAGCTGGGGATTTAGCTCAGTGGCGTAAGCGCCTGCCTGGCAAGTATGAGGTCGTGGGTTCAATCCCTGGTACAAAAAAAAAAGGAAGGAAAAAAAATCACAGTGACTCAGCTAAGCATGGTTGCACATGTAATCCCAGAATTCAGGAAGCTGAGGCAAAAGGATGACAAATTTGACTCCCACCTAAGTAACAGAGTGATTTACAGATATTCTGTAAAAAGATAAAAAGGGCAAAAAAATAAATAAATAAATAAAATAAAAGGGCAGATATTACAAACATGGTTAAATTCCTATATTTTGTTTTGAAAACCTATACTGTTATTGTTTTGGGTTTGTTGTTGTTCATTTATCTCTTTTGTTTTTTGCTGTGTCTTTTTTTCTTTTAAACAAATAAAATTTTAAAAATATAAAAGGCAGGCTATCGGAAGTATAGCTCAGTGCAAAGGCCCTTGCTGGGCATTTTATTTTGAGACAGGGTCTCCCTTGATCCTCTCACCTCAGGCTGTCAAGTAGCTGTGATTACAGATGTGTGGTTCAGTATGATTTAGTTTTTTCATCATAAATTTAAAGTGTACTGTTAATTCAGTGCCCACCTACACAGACATATGGCGAAGTTTGTTACATAAACATTAAGATCCACTTACATGTTAACTATAAGAGACATATCTAAAATATATTAGGTAGAGAGGTTAAAATGAATACAGCAGGAAGATTAGGTTATAGCTTAGTGGTAGAGCTCCGGACTAGCACAAAGTCCTGAGCTCAATCCCCAGCACTACAAAACTAAGTAAAAGGATAGATCTGTGCCTCATGATGCAGGAGTATAACCCTAGCACTCAGGGCACTGAGGCAGGAGGACGGCCACAAGTTTGAAGCCAGTCTAGATCACACAGTGAATTTAAGGCCAGCCTGAACTCCAAAGGAAGACCTTGCCTCAACAAACAAAACCAAAAATAAATTTTAAGACTAAAAGTGTTAAACAGACATAAAAAGTTTCTATGTTGACATATTTTAATTCACCAGAAAGATATAATAATTATAAATCTATATGTTAATAATGTACAGTTCAAATTTATAAAGAAAAAATGGGCCAACACACTTTCAGCGCCCCCTCCTCTTAGACAAAAGCTTGCTTTCTTTCAATAAATTCTTTCCATTCTTAACCTATGTTGGTCCTAGAATTCATTCCTTAAATTTAGAGAACACAAACTCAGCATTTTGGACACCTAGCAGGTTGGAAGTTTTTTTCCCCTATAGCATTTGGAGGTCTTCACTGAGATAACTGGACAGAAGTAAGAATTTGTGACCTAGCCCGTGGGTCAATCCGTGGGGCAACCACCTGGAGGAGGAACAGGGATTGACAAAGGCAGGGCAAGAGACAAAGAGAGACGGAGACAAGTTGAGGAATTCCAATCAAGTCTCATTTATTGAGGAAGTGGTCACAGCTTTTAGAGGGCAAGGGCAGGCCAGTGGGACAGGAAGAGGCTACGGGGTGATCTCTGATGGGTCATCATCATGTCCATGTATGTGACGTGAGCAGGAGAAGATCATGATTGGTGTAGACGCACTATGTGCACATATAAGGGAGAGGCGGGGACACAACAGTGGGGTGGTCGCACCACCCCCTACATCTCCTCCCTTTTTGTATTTTTAATCAGGCAGGCCTGATTAAATATATTTTATGGCAGGCCCTGTGAGGACAGTGCCTGTCTTGGGTCAAGCACCTCTTTACATGAACTCAACCAAGCCTTACTTGTCATGGGCTTGCAGGACAGCAGTTGGTCCTGTGCCTGTCTTAGGCGGCTGGTGGTATGGCATGTATGTTCTAGTTGCCTGTCTCTGGCTGCCTGTCCACTGCCCCAGGGTGGTTAGGCCACATTGTCATATGGGCCTCTCGTGGGAATTCTTTCCCAATAGGTTTGTTGATCTGCCATCTCCAGCTGGTGACAGTGTACCTGAATGGGCTTTGCCATAAATGCATCTATCCAGTTATTAACGAGTGTCATAATCCTCTGAAAAATACAAGGACCCACAGAGAGGAGAAGCAACAGGGCAGCTAGGGGCCCCAGGAGGGGCACTAAGTAGGGGAAGAGCCCTCCCCAGAGTGAGGAGAAAGGGTTAGAGGCCATCTGGTGTTTTCTCAATTTGAGCTGCTCTTCAATTTCTTGAAGTTTTCCACATATGATGCCAGACTGGTTAACACAGAAGCAACATTTTTCCTGTAAGGCAAGACAAATTCCCCCCTATTCTGCAGTTAGGAGGTCTAGCCCTTGTCTGTTTTGGAAGACCACCTCTGCAATGATCTAGTTGATCTTGGAGGGTCCATATGGTGGCGAACAAGGCCCGGACATCTTCTGACAGCTTGTTGGAGATCTCAGTATATTTGTCTAGGGTGACACCCAGTCCAGCTGTACTGGTGGCCAGTGCCCCGGTGACACCCATTCCTATCAGAAGTGGGACGAGAGCCACTGCTCCTTTTTTGTGGCCAGAGATGTAGGTAAATTCTGGTATGGGTATAGGCTCTTGTCCGGGAATTATATCAATATCAGGCAAAGTGGTGGCTAGCATACATATTCTTGACCAATTGGATGGGAGAAAAGGGTAAGCCAGATTGGCCCCACATACAAACACTTGTCCTGAGAGGGGGCATAAGGGTTCAGTGTAATTGGCAAATTGGGAGCAGCCAGGGGATATGAGGGGGCCCACATCAATGACGAATGAGTCATTTGCAAAAGAGCCCTGAATACATGGGACAGATAAATTGGCCATTACCACTGGTTGGACAGGAAGTGGCTGGCCAGGCGTACAGTTGGGGGAGTCCCCTAGGGAGATAGGTGTTGAATTGGAGGGGTAGTTATTGGCATAGGGGTGCCTAGGGCCATGCATAGCTAACAGTCCTTTACCAGGTTAAGGTTGGTGACATTAAGTGCCTTTTGAGTGGCTAAAAGAATATCATAGGTCTGTGGATCTAGGTCCACTCCCCGAGGTTTGGGGAGTGCCAATGGGTGATAATTGATCTTTGGGAATAGCTATCATCTCTTCTAGTCATTGGTGAACATATTCTTGTCTGATATTGTCTTGGGGGCCTCCCCCATCAGAAACATGGACAGGTGCCTCTCTGAACCAACATGTGGGTGCCCCAATATTGCCTTTACATCCTGCTTGAGAATATGAGCAGACACCAATGGCCTTGGGGTTAGTGCTCCAATCTGAGACATATTGGGGCGGAGTAGTTTTGGTAAGGATGGCTGTGAAATAAATTTTGTTATTTGGTCCGACACATTCGGAAACTGTTGTATAACACATAGAATGTACAGCTTCCTCAAAAAGGCAGGAGCAGTTTGGTCTAACTTGTGGCTTTTGTTTAATTTGGGTAAGGGAGGAAGTTGGTTCACCTCCGGAAGGGAGCCGCTTCCAAGCCCTAGTAGCCGTCACATTGACTTGTGTGAAGAGGCCGGGATCATATCTCATTTGGGCCTCTTTTGTATTGAAGTCTCCGGTCCCCGTAAGCATAGGGAGGGTCCAAGGGTTTCATCTAGCAGCATTATCTCTGGCAGTATTTTCACATTGGCCAAAAAACTCAGATTTCCATAATGGATAATTACCTCCCAAGAGCGTGGCCTTAGCTAAATCCCTCCATTCATTGGGAATAATCCAACCCTGGGTCATAGAATCTAAGACTGTGATGGTGAACGTGGCAGTGGGACCATATTGGGCAACCGCAGTTTTTAGTTCCTTTAGGGCGGCTACTATAAACAGTGTGTGTGTTCTAACTGCCTGTGGTCCAGTGCCATCTTGGGCTGGCATGTTTGTCTCTGTCACCGGAAATGCCATCTTAGGTGGAGACCTGCCCTGGTGTGGTGCATGTGGGGCAGGCGCCATCTTAGGGATGGGCACCATTTTAGGAGCAGCATCTAATTGGCCTGTCCGTAGGGTCTGTAATTGTAACATGAGCCTTTGACATTCTTGTTCTAGTTGTACCTGTTTTTGTAACTCTAAGACTCAGGCCTCTAACTCTAGGAGTGTGTCGGAGGGGCCAGGGGAAGTTTTGGGTGTCTCGTTGTAGCTAGGGGGCAGTTTTACGGTGGCTGGAGCCACAATAGGACCACAGTGGTATCTGGTGACCTCTTCCACCAGTTTATCCCAATAGACCTCTTGTAAAGGAGCGAGGTCGGGATATAAAGATTTGTAGTGGGCCTCAGGTGGTAGGGGCTCAGGTGGCAGTGGGCCACCATCTTGGAGATTTTCTAACATATCATTTTTCTCCTTGTCGGAGAGGCAAGAAACATCAGATTTGTTTCCTGAAGGGAGTGGTGTTGGCACAGCAGAAGCATGCAGGGTGGTTTCATCTTGGGTGATCGTTTCATCAATTTGAGGGGCTCGGTAGCGCTGTGTAAGTAGCTCTGAGATTAGGTTCCAGTAGGCAAAGGCTGTAACCAGGACCTTTTCAGGGCCAAAGACCTGATAGTAGTCTTTGAATGCATCTCCTATTCTCTCCCACCTTTTTGTATCAATAGAGCCCTCTAAAGGGAAACAGGGACAAACCTTATGAATAAATTGAAAATATTATAATAAATCTTTTTCTTTAGCCTTAATCCCTCTTGACTTTAACGCCTTACTTAGGCCTCCCACGAAAAGTTCGTGGTCACTCAATGCTTGACCCATGCCGGGAAAGGGGGAAGGGATCGCCATTCTCTTACCGTGGCTCAAGCGGCATGGCAGGCTCCTGCGTGGCGTAGGTCTCGGATCTTTAGTTTCAGTTTTGGCTGGCATCTCTGAACGGCTCCCTCATTGAATCCTCTGTGCCAAGAGCCCCACATTGGGCACCACTTGACCCAGCCCATGGGTCAATCCACATGGCAACCACCTGGAGGAGGAACAGGGATTGACAAAGGCAGGGCAAGAGACAAAGAGAGATGGAGACAAGTTGAGGAATTCCAATCAAGTCTCATTTATTGAGGAAGTGGTCACAGCTTTTATAGGGCAAGGGCAGGCTGGTGGGACAGGAAGAGGCTACGGGGTGATTTCTGATGGGTCATCGTCATGTCTGTGTACGTAATGTGAGCAGGAGAGGATCATGATTGGTGTAGATGCACTACGTGCCCATACAAGGGAGAGGCGGGGAGACAGCAGTGGGGAAGTCACGCCGCCCCCTACAAATTTGCTTTATTTATTTGGTTTGTTTTTGTAAATACTGGATTGTGGCCCACTTAGATAATCAAAATTTTTATGCTTCAAGTTTTTATGCTATGTCTTTATATTGGTCATGCTTCTCCTCATACAATGTTATTAAAATGCTGATAAATTTAACTTGAAAACATGGTGTCCTTGTTATTTTTTCTCCTGTCACTGAGACAAAATACCTGATGCTCAAAATCAAGGAAGGAAAATTTCTTTAGCTCATGGTTTGTAGAAGTTTCAGTCCATAATCAGCTGGCTCCCAGGCCGGGTGGCTTGGCACTGGGGCAATATTTCAAGGCTGTGGAAGACAACTAGAGCAACAAGAACAAGAAGAGGGTATACAAAGGAATAGGAACAAATCCAAAATCCAGCAGGGCAAACATTAAGTCCTATAGTTTCACATCCAGTATGTGAAGCAATCAGTGGCAAATTGTGAGCTCCGAAGCCATTGAGTGACTCCATCCCTATGGCATTTCTGGTGGTTGTGTCTCCCACAGCTTCTCTCTTAAGCCCTAGGGATATAGCTTAGCAATGTAGCACCTGCCTGGCAAGCATGGGTCATGAGTCCTCACACAAAACAACAACAAACCTAAAGCCTGTTTTACTTCCTCCTTGTAAGTTTCTTAAGACAATCCATATTCCTGGCTTTTCCAAACTTCTGGGGTCTCCACTGCACCTTTGGCTTCACCCTCACAGTTTCACACACTGTCCTCTCTGGGCAAAGTGCCTGGCCTCCCAGGCCCTCTGAAATTGGATGGAAGCTCTTTTAACCCCATAACTCTTGCATTCTGAATGCACCTAAAACCAGCACCATGTGGATGATGCCAAGGTCTGCTACCAGCTGGAGCAGTGCAGGCTTTCCCCTTTGGTTCTTGTTGCTTCTGCTGTTTTCTTCTGCCTTGAAGTGTTGCCCCTCAGCTAGGCCACCCTGCCTTGGAGCCAGCTGATTACAGACTGAAACCTCCACAAACTGTAAGCTAAATAAACCTTTCCTTCCTTAATTTTGGTTGTCAGGTATTTTGTCCTAGCAACAAGAAAAAAGTAACCAAGACACATGTGAGGGTTATAAGGTTATGATGCTTCTCTAAGGGGACCTGTTTTGTATCACTGTAATCTTGTCCTACCTCATATTTACCTATGATTTCTCACTGGATCAATATGACCTAAGCAACTGTACTTTTTTTTTTTTTTATGGGTACCAGGGATCAAACTCACGACTGCCTGCTTGCAAGGCAGGTGCTTATGCCACTGAGCTAAATCCCCAGCCCCAGCAACTGTACTTTTAATCTTACTGATTGATTATAATTCTGCCTTAAACCTGCCTCCCTTTGTGGCTTTGCTCAATAAACACCCTTGAGAAGGAGGTTTGGTGGGCAATCCACTTTTTGGCCCCTGTTCTGTCCTTTTTAGAAGCTTTCTTTCTCTGAATAAATTCACACACACACACACACACACACACACACACACACACACACACACACCATATACCTATAATCACAGTTACTTGACAGCCTAAGATAGAAGGATCAAGGGAGAGCCTCTCTCAAAACAAAAATTTTTTAAAAGGTTAGGGTAAAACATTTGCACAGCGTGCACAAGGCCCTGGGTTCAACCGCCAGCAATGAAAAAAGACAAAAGAAAACAAATGAAAAACAGGTAGCATATACCTTCCTTCCTTCCTTTTCTCCTTTTTCTCTCTCTCTTTCTTTCCTTCCTTCCTTGTTGGTACTACCAGAGATTGAACTCAGAACCGTCACACTGAGGTTCATTCCTAGTGCCTTAAAAAAAAAAAAAACTAAACGGAGTCTTCCTAAATTGTCCTGGCTGGGCTTAAACTTGTAGTCCTCTTGCCTCAGCTTCCCAGAATCCAGGGACTACAGTCTGCTGATGTGCACAGCTTTTTTTCTCTTTATTTTACCTTTTGTGTGTGTGTGGAAAGGGGGAGGAGGGTTGCTAGTGATTGAACCCAAGGCCTTGGGCCTTAGCAATTAACTATACCTAAGCCCCTGCTCTCTTTGATTATTTCATTTTCTTCCTCCTCTCCTCTTCCTGTTTCCTATCTAGACCACAGACATGAAGGTCAAAGGACCTTGTGATTTTTAAGTAAACTGAGGGTTACTTTTTTTTTTTTTTTTTGTCTTTTTCTTTTTTATCAGTACCAGGGATCGAACTCACAACCTCCTGCTTGCAAGACAGGTACTTATGCCGCTGAGCTAAATCCCTGGCCCCTAAACTGAGGGTTGAAGCTACAGAGTAGACTAAGAAAATACAAGCAGCCTGGGAGCATTTTCTCCGAATACCTGGGGGCAGTGTATTAGCCAGAAGTGAGAGAAGTATAAACTTCCGCCTCACTGCAGCCCTGTTCCAGCGTGTTATACGCACACACGCAGCCACAGGCTGATGCACAGAGGGCAGTGAGTGAGAGGCGCATGCTCTAAAAGCCTAGACATGGAGAGGGCTAAGGAGAAGGGTTGGGGCTGTGCTGGCGAGGAACCTGGTGACCCTGGGTCTGCAAGTCACTCTGTCAGACTGTTCCCCAGGTACCTTGGAAAGCAATCAAGATGCATTTTTGTGTGCTAATTCTAATTTTTAGCAAAGCTCTAATTTATTAATTAATTGTGTGTGTGCGTGTGTGGCACTGGGGAACAGCCCCTTCATACTGAGCAACAGCCCCAGTCCTCTTTTTATTTTTAAAGAATAGGTTCCCTAAATTAAGTTGCCTAGGCTAGGCTTGAACTTCAATCGTCCTGCCTCGACCTTGCTGAAATGCTGGATTATTGGCCTGTGCGACGCCACACTTGACTAGCAAACCCTGAATTCAGATGTAAAAATCAGGCTTAAACTGGTGGGGAAGTAGTTTTCAAAAAGGAAGTAACACTGGTAAAGAAGCCAGGTGTGGGGGCTGGGGATTTAGCTCAGCGGCATAAGCGCCTTCCTTGCAAGCAGGTAGTCCTGAGTTCTATCCCCGGTACTGATAAAAAGTTAAAAAAAAAAAAAAAAAAGAAGCCAGGTGTGGCGACACAATAACTTCTTGGCCTTTTGGCTAAAATCAAGTGTAACCCTAGCATGAGGAAGGCTGAGGCAGGAGGATCCTCTCGAGTTCCAGGCTAGCCTTAACTACAAAGTGAGACTCTGTCTTAAAAAGACAAAAAAAAAAAAAAAAAAAAAAAAAGACAAAAAAAAAAGAAAAAGGCCAGGGATTTAGCACAGCAGTTCAAGTGCTTGCTTGGTAACTGCTTGCCTGTTAAGGGCGAGGTCATAAGTTCAGTACCTCATACAAAAACAAAATAAAACAAAAAGATAAAATAAAATTTAAAAATAAAAATAAAAAACCACTGGTAAGGAAAGCACTGTGTGCTTAGGTCTTGGTCTCAGTCTCTCTCTCTCTCTCTCACACACACACACATACATACACACATCAGGAATAAAAAGTTGACTGCAGCCTTGAGCACTTAACAAGACATTTTTTGTTTCCAAACAAAAATAAGGAAACCAAGAGTGGTGGCACATACCTGTAATCCCAGCACTTTTGAGAGGCTGAAGCAGGTAGATTGTCATGAGTTCAAGGCCAGCCAACCTGAGCTACATAATGAAACCTATCTCTAAAAACCTAAAATAATAAAATAAAATGAAATGCAGGTACCCCCAGCAGGTGATAACACTGTGACCCCAAAGAGGTATTTTCTAAGCACTTTCTGTTTTGTTGTTGTTGTTGTTAACTGGAATCGAACTCAGGTCCTTGCACCTGCCAGGCAGGTGCTCTACCACTGAGCTAAACCCCTGGTTGACTACCTTCTGTTAAGAGTCAATGATAAACCAGGTGTAGTAGCTCACACCTGTAATCCCAGCATTTAGCAGGCTGAGCGGGGAGGATCATTGCAAGTTCGAGACCAGCCTGGGCTACAAAGTGAGCTCAAGGCCAGCCTAAACTGCATAGCAAGACCCCGTCCAACAAAGAGTCAATGATAGCAACTGGAAGGTATACCTTAGTGGTAGTAGAGCACTTGCCTCTAGGCAATTGAATTGAAATAACTAAAGAGGACAGTAGCTTGGATAAAACACAAGGCTTTGGGTCCAATTCCCAGCATCCAGCAATTTCTCCACTCCCTGCTCCCCCTAAAAAAGGCAAAATAAAGACAGGACAAGTCAGACACGGTGATCCTACCACTCTGGGAGGCTAAAGCAAGAGGATAATGAGTTCAAGCCCAGCCTGGGCAACTTAGTAAGATTATGTCTAGGGGAAGAAAAAAAAAATTCTATGACTAACAGTGGTGCAACCCAACTATCAAAGATCAAATTAGTGCTCTCTTCTCCTTCAAGTCCCACCCCATGGGAAACTTAGGGGATAGCTGGAACAGAGGCCAAAATGCAAAACAGGAGAGATTTTAAGCTTTGATAGGATTTGTAAAGTGAATAGCTACAGCAACCCATGTTGATACTTGTTACTGTGAGCCTTCTGATTATTTCAGGAAATCACGTTACCAAGCAAACTACCAAGAGCCAACATCTGACCTGCAAGAGCCTAAGACCATAGACTAAGCATCCGATCTCCAGAGGTGGCTGCCACCCACTGAAGCTCTTTTGGGCCACAGGCACGGGGCCAAGGAACACCCTCTCTGAGGACAGAGTCAAGGGCTACAGAGACAAGACAGTGGAGACTGGGAAGCCAGACAGACTGATCAACTAACTTGCTCCTGCATCAGGGCTGATCATCCCCTGCCCCAGATCTGAATACCCCATTGTACATGGCCATTGATTGGGGTGTGACTGTATTTGCTTACAGTTTTCATGGGCCCAGAGGGCTTGGCTGGGCAGTGGTCCAGTGTAGATGAGCAGCGGCTGCTGCTGGAACAGGTAGGGGCTTACTAAGATCTCACTGTCTTCATATATCCTTAGCCTTTTCTTCTTCCTTTTGTCTCCCCACCCTGACCCACCTCCCACCCCATGAGTGTGGTACTGGGGATTGGACACAGGGCTTTCACACTGAGCTGCAGCCCCAGCCAGGGTCTTTTGGTTTTTTTTTCTTTTCTTTTTTGGATTTGGATGTAAGGTTTCAATTGCTAATTTGTCCAGGATGGCCTCGAGTTTGCCATCCTCCTGCCTCAGGCTCCAAAAGTTGAAGTAACAGTTGTTTGCCATCCTACCTGGTTGTACTTGGGCTTTCCAGTGACTCTGCATGGGCTACTATGGGCCATTCACAAGACAGTGACCTGAGCAGTTGGAATGTGACCCGAGACCCCAGCTCCCAGAAAAAGTGCTCCAGAAGACAACACAGAAACTACCTTTGCTCTCAGGACCTCTCTCAGCAACCAGAAAGCAACATGGTGCCCTGCTGGCCAAGCCACCAACACACAGCAGAGTTTGGGGGACAAGAGCACAGTCCCTGCCTCTGTGGACTGCGGAGCTTGCCTGGGGACTTTGGGGCATTTCCTGGGCTCTTCTCTCTCAAAGGGAAAGGGGCCAACAGTTTCCATCCCAGCACATGGGTCAGAGGTGGTGGTGGTGGTAACTGTCTCAGGTTTATGGGGTGCCAGGTCATAAGCAGCCACATGAGGAGGTGATAAAAGACTAAACAGGGAAAGGGTGGGTGTACTGCTCTAGAAGCTGGGCTTTACCTAAAATCTACTCTTCTCTTTTACCTTAATAAAAACAACAACAACAAAAATCTCACTTCTTAAGTTCCACTGTAGCTAAAAGTGGTCTTGTGACAAAATCCTGGCCCATGAGATATAAATGAAAGTTGTTGAAAAAGACTTCCAAGGAAGCTTTTTAAAACAGGAAATTACAGCACATGCCTATAATCCTAGCACTTGGGAGGCTGAGGAAAGAGAATCTCCACAAATTCAAGTCAAACCTGGGCTATATAGTGAGTTCAAAGCCAGCCTGAACTACATAATGAGACTCGCAGAAAGAGACGGACAAGAGAGAGAGACAGATAGACGGAGACAGAGAATTTCCCTCTCTTTATCCTTTGCTTCTGACTCCTGGCTGGGATGCACACATGACAGCTGGAGTTCCAATGTCACCTTGGATCATAAGTTAAGTTTGAGAATAAAAACCACACGGTAAGGATGGTGATCAAGACAAGTATAGGCCCCTGCTGTTGATGGAGAGGCCATGAGCACCTACTGTGGGATATGTTTAAGTGTAAGAAAAATAGAACTTTAGCCTAATTTAATCCACTATTACTTCTACTCTCTATTGTTGATAGCAAACTTCAGTTCCTTCCTTAGAGAATAGGATTATGGAACAAATATTCACTGATTATGAGGACAAGGACTCCTTTGTTCTCTCTCTCTCTCTCTCTCTCTCTCTCTCTCTCTCTCTCTCTTTCTCTCTATCGATTCTTGAGACTGAGTCTTGCTATGTAGTTCAGGTTGGACTTGAACTCACTATGTATATAGTCCAGGT